CGGGCCATGCCCCGGGCGGGACGCGGGGTCGGACGCCCGCGGAGGATGCGGAGCCTCGGACGCCGAGCCTCGGAGAAGCCGAGCAGGGCAGCCACGGCCGCCAGCCGCCGCCGGATCCTGCTCCTCCTGCGCCGCCGCCGCCGCCTCAGAGCGCACCATTCAGCACATCCTCCGTACCCAGGGCGAGCAGTGACACACGCGCGCCCCCTCCTCCTCCTCCTCCTCCTCCTCCCGCGCTCCCCGCCCCTCTTCCCCGCCGCCCGCCCGCGCCGCCCGTCCTTCCTCCCCCCGTGCCTGCCCAACTTTGCGCGCTGGGTCAGGCGCCGCCAAGCGGGGACGCAGCGGCACCTCCCGGCTCCCGGGCCCCACTGCAGCCGCCGCGCCTCGCGCGCCCTCGGAGAAGGCCCGGCCTGGGCCGGGGGTGCAGGCGTCCCAGACGCGGCCTCTGGGGTTCTCTGCGAAACTTGGGCGCGAGCCCAAGAGCGCCTCTGCATCCTGATCGGGTAGGAAAAGGGGGACGTTGGGAGGAAACAGAGGGAACCCACAGCTTTCCGTTCCTGCTGGTGCTCTCCAGCTTTTTTAAAAAGAGGGATTATTATTTACTAGCAGAGAAGAGAGCAGCGGAGAGGCTTGGAGTGGAAGCTCTTTTAAGAAACCTTGCCCTTCCTGAGAGTTGGCAGCGCACTGGTCTTGAAGCCAGACAAACAATTAAGTTGTATGTGAGATAAAAAGCCTATCTTGGGGGAAGCAAAGTTTTATTTCCCAAGGAAAAAGGTCTCTTCGTCTCCTCTCTCCGTGTGTGTGTGTGTGTGTGTGTGTGTGTGTGTGTGAGAGAGAGAGAGAGAGAGAGAGAGAGAGAGAGTGTGTGTGTGTGAGAGAGAGAGAGAGACAGAGACAGAGACAGAGACAGAAACAGAGAGAGAGAGAGTTTTTTGACCGAAAATTTGCTCGTTTAAGAACATAGATCCAGGAATATTTGTCTTCACTTGTTCAAGAAACATTCACTGATGGCCAGAGGGAAACTGGAAAGAAGATTGGACAAGATTTTAAAGATTGATAATATCAAATGTTTGAGAGAATGTGAAGCAACTGGAACTCTCATCCATTGCTAGAAGGAGTATAAAATGGTAAAGTCAATTTGGAGAACAGTTTCTTACAAAGTTAAACATTTTTTTATATAATCCAGAGATTCCACTCTTAGGCTCCTGTTGAAGAGAAATGAAAACATGTCCACAGAGACTTGTATAACAATGTGAATAACCTTTTTTTGTAATAGCCCCAAACTAGAAAGTATAAATAAATGTCAGTCAACAGATGAGTACATAAACAAACTGTGTTATTCCTAAATAATGGAATGCCATTTTCCTACAAAAAAGAATGAGCATGCCAGGATATGAGTAAATTGTACTTTAACCTTAGTGAAAAAGCCGCACAATAGACTGCATGCCACATGATTCCATTTGTAGGAATTCTAGAATAGGCAAATGTTCCATGTTGACAGTACACCATGGGTTACCTGGGCCCCAAGGCTGACAAAGACTGGCAAAGAAGGGACATTAGGGAATTTTTGAGGATGATGGAAACATTCTATAAAGTATATGTTTATATTTATCAAAACGTATAAAACTGGACACAGAAGTGAATGCATTTTCTTACAATTAAATTATGTCTCAACAAAGGTTGATTTTAGAAAACCAACAAGGGTGAAGAAAAAAAGGAGAGAAACATTACATTCTCTTAAGTTTATTCTCTCCTGTGCTCTCCAGGGTGTCTAAGAAGCAACATTTAAAAACTCAACCGAAAGATTATCAAATATATAGTAGTGAAATTTGCCATTAGGTATTTCAGTGCATGCAAAAAAATATGTATTGATCACCAGCTCTATACTTAGCATTATTAAAATCACCATGGGGACCTTGGTGAATGAAAGCCCTGACTTCTGCTGTCTTTTGGGGGACTGGAGCCTTGTCCCTTGTGAGCCAGCTGCGTCAAAGAATTTCATTAAAGTGTGAATTGTTTCATTTTGATTAATGTCGCTAAAACAAAACTTGAATCTATTATCTGTACTCCCAGCCAGTACACTTGGCTTGCAAGTTATCCCACAGAAGGGAATGGTCTCATATTGATTTTCTTTATTTTAAGGCACATCAAGAGAAGATTCCAGGGCTCTGAGCCTTCTCAATTTTTCTTTCAACTGATCCTTTCAGGTTGTTCTGTTCATCCACCCTGTCCGCATTATTTTGTTATCCACTGGACAGACTGTTAGGCAAATTTGTTTTACCTATCAGAGAGGATAGGAAGACAAGACAGATCTGGGCTGTGTCCACTAAAACTAGAATTTGAAGGGTTGCAAATGGGCTCTTAGCAAAATGAGATGGTAGATTGGCTCATCACATCCCTTTTCTCTGTCCCTTCTCATCTCTGTAGCTACACACTTTTGTGTGTGACACTGTAATTTTCAATAAGGTGCTTAGTATATTCATCCCCCCCACTGATGTTGAACAGTAGGACTTACTTAGGCCAAAGGGATGTCAGAAGATGCAATAAGAACAAAGATCTGCAATATATTGTGCAGTGGGGCTTACATTTTTAGGCAGCCTATGAGCAGGAAGACAAATGCAGCAGATTCATCCCAATTTGTAGGTGGGGGTAAATCCAAGGGAATCCAATCTAGATCTGCCCAACCCTAGCCAACCTATGAGCATGATAATAAATGCTCATCTTTGAATGCTGCTGAGTTGAGGATCATTTGTTATGCACCATTATCAAGGCAACGGATGGATACCTTTTCCATCAGTTATTCTTTATCCTCCCCAACTGTTGCTATGAATGTGAATGCTGAACAGAGATTGTCTTCCAAACAAACTCCAGCAAGAGCTTTTTATACTAGCAAAATGGTGTAGCTTGATAGAAGAGGGCTTCGTGATAAATCCCATCAGCTTGGGGATGAGACTTCAAGCAGCTTGGTTCAACTCCATCATTTTCTATACCTTTTGCTAGTGATATAGGACAGAAACTTTTTTTCAGTATGGGGATTTTTGCCCTACAAAGGAAACTGCAATACCATCCCAAATAATGTAAGGCTGGAAATATAGCTCGGGTGTACAGGCGCCTGCCTGCTAAGTGTAAGGTCCTCAGTTCGATTCCCGGTACCAAAATAATAATAATAATAATAATAATAATAATAATAATGTGAGCTAGATCTGTGACCCATCAAATTCAGTGCTGTGTTTTTTTGATACAATAGGAAGGTCTGTGTTTTGTTACAGCACAGAATGGCCCTCAGAATATCGGCCTCAGGGAGTTGGCAAAGGTAACTTTTATGGAGCACTGACTGTAGGCCAGAGCACCCAGCTAAGCACTTTCTCAAAAAACATAGCCCTTACTATTCATCAGCACTTGCTACCTTCTTTGTCTTGTAAGCAAAGCTAGATTTTGTTAAGCTATCAGTTATGCTTAGGAAAATGGGAATTTCCAGGGGATGAGCTATTATTGGTTTAAACCAATTATAGAAATTCCATTCTTCTCTGTCTGTATACCAGTTTAGAAGGTACATAAGGGACCCAGATCTGACCAATGAATTGGGTGGGGCTATCTGGTAAAAATATCTCTTTTTCCTCCTCTGCTTTCCTCCCCTCCCCTTCTCCCTCCTTTCTCTATCTCCCTCTTTTTTCCCCCCCTTCCATCCTCCTTCTCTCCCTCTCCTTATATAAAAGAGAAAGCTAAATAGAAAGATGCAAAGAGCCTATTACTCCCGTAGATCTTAACCCTATGAATCACCTGTAGAATTCCTAATAAGTCCCTTAATGAATATCTTTACTGGTTCAGCCTTAGTGTCACTCTTAGTTGATCAGATGGATAAATTATTACACTCTGTTTTTACTGATTATAAAATTGAGGCTTGGAGAAGTAAATTAACCCAAGGTCACACAGCTAGCAACTGAGATCGAGGCCTAGGAACTCTGATTTTAGAAACTTGACTCAACGATCATGGTAATCACTTCTAGAATCTACAACAAAAATCTGAGCAGTTTCTCCACACTTTTAACCTGACTATAACACAATTATTTCAATTTTTCAAGAAATGAGAGTGTTGTACATGGCTCAGTCTTTTATCAGCTCTTCACTCATTTGAGGTCTGCCACAGCAGGTAGGACAGGTGTTTAGATTTGAATGGACATACCTTTTAACAACCAGCTCTACCTATTACTACCTCTGTGACCTTGGAAAAGTCTCTTACCCTTTTTGAAATACAGTATGCTCATATAGCTAAATGGGAAAATAATAGTAATCATGAAAGCTTATTATGTGCCAGGAACTGTTTTAAGAGTTTTGTGCTCTTAATGCCCTAATCTTTACATTAACCCTATAAAGTGGGCTACTGTTATTATCTGCTTTTTTTAATTGAAGAAAGAGAGAAAGGTTAAATATTTGCCGCCAAATTTCCAGCTAGTAAATGAAAGAACCAAAACTGGAACTCCAGATAATTTGGTCATCTGACCTGCAAATTTAATAACCATGCTAAACTATCTTAAAGAGTGATTATAAAGATCAAATAAAACCATGTATATAAGTCTCTGTCACATAGTTAATGCTAATAATAGTGTTTCAAACACTTGTAATTATCTAAAATTTTACCACACTACCTTTTTGAGGCCTAAAATAGCTGTTTCATTCTTCAAAGATAGCATCCTAATTCTGTGGTCTATGATTTAGTCAACTTCTTTTTGCCTGCGTTGAGCCTATAAACTTTAATCATATCCATTTTTATCTCTAACTTTCTAAAATTGAAAGGCTGTTCTCCACCATGAATAAATGAGTTCTAATTGTGTCTAAGGATTAGAGTTTATCTTTTTTTAAATAATAGAGAGATGTGAAGAAGCCCACCCAGAAT